TGATGAATGTGATTGTGATGATGTCTGGGAGGAACTAGACGAGTAGCTCTAGTGTGGTGTGCCTTCAGAGATGGAGGAAGATTTTTTTTGCTTTAAGAACTATTTTTCGTATATTCTTTTAAGACAATTGTAACACTCCGGTTTATTTAAATTAAACCATCATTCTTAATTAAGCCCACTTTCAATCTTTTTTTAACTTCCTGCGAGCCCATAAATCCAACCCATTAAGCCCAGTCCAAATTAATCTAACCTAATATAAATACTCTGATCCCTCATCAAGCTTCTAAAACCCTGGTCTCTCTATCTTCTTTTTTTTCTCGTCACTTTTTTTTCCTAAACCGCCGTTCACTTCTAAGACGATTTCCCGGCGATCTGTGAAGCTCCATGTGACGTATAATATATCAAATCGAAGCCCCGAGTGTCATATTTCTTCGGAGAATAAGTTCGTCCCGATCGGAGATCTGAGTAAGGAGATATCGCCGTTCTAGTGTCGGGTGTCCAGATCTGCTTTGTTGCTAAGGTGAGGATTAGATCTAGGGTCTTCTTTTTATTCATTTGTCTTCTTCTGGTGTGTGGGGTCTAGATCTGATGAGCTTAGGATGTTTCTTTGTGAATCTAGCTAGATCCATGTGAAAATTTAATGAAATGAATTAGGATCTCATTAGAGGAAGAACCAGCATATTTGATTGTTTACTTTGGTGTGTGGTTAGTGATTGGTAGTGTAGTTAGATAAGGTGTCCATCTCGGTGGTGATGTGCCGAGGTATGGACTTGTTTGCTGGGCTATTGATGTCTGAGTGACTATATCGGTAGTCCAACGGTGGGGAAAGATACGCCAATCCTTCTGGAGCCTGTATGGCTGGAGGCATGTCTGTATGACCACCTGATATTATGTTTGTGTGACATGGGAGATGTGTGTGTGTCCTAAGTTGGTGTGACTGGGAGGTATGGCCTTGTGTGATGGGCGGGTTGGAGACATCACAATTGCTTGTTAGTTGTTTGTGCATCGCTAGGGTGCTTGTGTGTTGCTTATTGGATTTATTCTTGACATGTTAGTTGGAAATGAATGAGTGGGAAGGGAGTCTGGTCTGGTTCTCACTGAGTAATCCTCATTACTCACCCCTCCTCTTCCCTTTGTCTTATCAGGTGTAGGTGAAAGATCAGCATATGTCTATATTGTTGATTGCTACCTGGGCGTTTTCGAACCTGGCAGACCTGAGACTCACCAACTGGACCAAACCAGGCGTCTGATCGAATGCGGTTAGATGGCCGACCTAACATGCCCTATTTCACTTCCTCTCTAGGAAGCCTGGGATAGGGATGTTACAAATGGTATCAGAGCCCAGGCAGATCTCATAGCTCTGTCCTAGGAGGTCGTGCCCGTGTGTTTTAAAAGAATTTTTTTTTAAAAGAAACCTATTATACTTTTAAAACTTATTTTTATTTATGTAATGTTTTCAAACCTAGAACAATCAACTTATAGACGCTGATCTAATTATTCTTTCCTTCTTTTCTTCTCTTCAGATTCGGGCTCAGGACTAGGGAGACGGCAAGAAAGAGGGTGATTCGCTCGACTCGGGTGGAGATCTTCGAAAGACCTTCTCAGAGGTATGGTCTGGAGTGGGTTCCCTGGAGTAGGGAGGCATCCCGATCTGGCCCTAGATCTCCCCCGGAAGCTAAGCCAGATGTTCAGCACATGGTGGAGCACGGGCCAGTGCCAGAAAACCTCAGCAGCACCAGGAGCTCCCCCAGTGAATCCGCTTGGAGCATGGAGAGGGTTTGCCATCCAGGCAGTTAGGACCCTTCAGGAGTACCATCATGATTTTGTGAATGCAATTGAGCATGCACCTTAGACCTATACTGCTCAAGACTTTGCAACCTACTTCTTCCAAGGTCTGCATTCCAACCTCAGATCCGGGATCATGGATATGGGAGTAGGCCCAAGCGACCGAGTGCGGGAAGTCTACCGCAATGCGTTGTGGGTGGAGCAGTCTTCCCAATCTGGAGGCTCCATCCTCATCAGTTCAGACAGTGAGGTGGAAATTGATGAAGACCCTTCCGAAGATTCTGATAGCTAGTAGGAAAAATGATTTTTTTTAGGAGTAGAACTAGTATTCTTTATCCTATTGATTGCTCTATTTGATTTATTGGTTGTTAGGATTTCTTATCTAGGAGTTAGCTATATTCTATGCTGGAGTTCTTATAGCAGTTATTATTTTCAAAGAAACAATATGTTCTACTCCTCCTTTTAAAATTAATAAAGAAATGATTTTGAGTTTTACTTAAAGTGTTATTTTGCATCATGCTTCCTCCTCTAAATCCTTCTATCTTTTATAATCTTAAGCCTGAGCTTCCTTTCCTTTTTCCTTTTTGGCGACATGGACCTTGTGGTTCCATTTCTAAATTCTTTTCCTCTCCTTCTTGGCACCATGAGTTATATGATTTCCTTCCCCTAATTTTCCATCTGAATTTTTTTTTCCAGTCCCACTTCTGCTTACATTTTTGCACTTCTTCCTTACCTCATTTCTGTTCCCTTCTTTTTTTCGTTTCTGCTTCCTTCATGTTTTATTTCTGAATTTCCTTCTTGTCTTTTTCTTCTTAACCTCTATTTTCTCTAATGCCATAATTCCTTGTGCTTCCATTCCAAACCTCCTTCTGAACTTTTATTCTTGTTTATCCTTCCTATTCCAATTCCGATTTTTCCTTCTGGATCTGTTTCATTTCCTACTTCCATTTTCTGATCTCATTCCTGACTTCTTTCTCTTTCTGCGACCAAGCTCCTCTCCTCCCTTGTGCTTTTATTTCTCTTGGTCTTTAGCTTTCAAATTTCCTTTCAGGAACTTCTTCCCTAGGATTCGGGGACGAATTCCACTGAAGGGGGAAGATTGTAACACACCGACCCGCCGGGTCGGTTGTTACTAAAAATCAATTTTCGGTTTATTTAAATTAAACCATCATTCCTAATTAAGCTCAATTCTAATATCTTTTTAACCTTCTGCGAACGCATTAATCAAATCCATTAAGCCCAGTCCAGAATAATCTAACCTAATATAAATACTCTGATCCCTTATCAAGCTTTTAAAACCCTAGCCTCTCCATCTTCTCTCTTTTTCGTCACTTTTTCTCTTAAACCGCCGTTCATTTCTGAGACGAATTCCCGGCGATCTGTGAGGATCTACGTGACCTATAATATATCAAATCGAAGCCCCGGAGGTAAGCTTTCTGATAAGACTGATTTCTCCCTGATCCGCAGTCGGAGTCGTGAGTTATCGTGAACCGCGTGTCGGGTGTCCAGATCTATTCTCTCTCTCTTCCTCTTTCTCATCTTTGCCCTAATCTCTCCTCTCTCTCTTTTCAGTCGAACTTCTCCTTCTCCATTCCAAGATATGTGTGCCTCCATCTCCTCCTCCTCCTCTCGAATCCGAATCCAGCGAAGGTGGATCTCTAAAACTCAAAACTCAAAACTCAAAACCATTTTTTAAGGCAAACCCTCTCCATGCTCCAAGCGGATTCACTGGGGGAGCTCCTGGTGCTGCTGAGGTTTTCTGGCACTGGCCCATGCTCCACCATGTGCTGAACATCTGGCTTAGCTTCCGGGGGAGATCTAGGGCTAGACCGGGATGCCTCCCTACTCCAGGGAACCCACTCCGGACCATACCTCTGAGAAGGTCTTTCGAATATCTCCACCCGAGTCGAGCGAAGTGAAATAGGGCACTAGAGCTACTCGTGAAGTCTGACATCATTGCTTGCTAGTTGTTTGTGCATCGCTAGGATGCTTGTGTGTGCTTGTTGGATTTATTCTTGACATGTTGGTGGAAAATAAATCAGTGGGAAGGAAGCCTAGTTTGGTTCTCACTGAGTAATTTCCCCAAATTACTCACGCCTCTCTTTTAAATCCATATTGCAGGTGAGTGTGATGAATGTGATTGTGATGATGTCTGGGAGGAACTAGACGAGTAGCTCTAGTGTGGTGTGCCTTCAGAAATGGAGGAAGATTTTTATTGCTTTAAGAACTATTTTTCGTATTTTCTTTTAAGACATTGTTTTCTGCTTATTTTCAGATTTATTCAAGTTATTCATTTCTATTGTAAGACTGAATTTGGTTTGATTTGGAATAAAATTTAAGGATTATTCAAGAATTATTGGTTAGGTTAGATAATACTGCCGGTTTAGTCTAGTTTCCTTTGGAACCCAAGACCGGGGTGTTACAACTAGTATCAGAGCCTAGGTTCGAGTTAGGAATAGAGAGAGTGTCTAGTTTAGAGTAGTGGGATTGGGAATGAGTTTTTTTAAAATAAAAAAAAAATTCAAAGTTCAAAGACTTTTCAAATGTTTTTAAACAAAGAAAACCACCACCTAGATCAGCCTCTCTAGTTATTGTTTGTTTATTTTTATTTGCAGGAAGTTTAGTCTTTACGGGACCAGACTGACTTATCTGTTTTCTTGTGTTGTGCAATGTAGATGCCTCCGAAAGCCAGAAATGTGCGCACCATATCCCAAGCTCGTCGTTCAAGTGGGGATGAGGAGACCACTAACACGACAGGAAGTGTGAACCGAGTTCTAGTGAACCAGCAGGCTGGGAATCCTGAGGGAGATGTACCTGTTCAAGTGCCTGCAGCAGCAGCAAAAGCAGGTCATACTGCAGTCTTGGAGGAGCTGCAACGCTATCGGGAGATGTATGGCCACTTGAACCAGGGAGTGGGTGTGAATTCTCAGCAGCAGGAGCAGCAGCATCAGCAGAATGTGCCCCCGCCGCCAGTGCATGAACCGCCGCCAGTGGTTGTGCCGCCAGTGTTTGTTCAGCCTCAGAATGTGCCGCCACCAGTGTTTGTTCAGCAGCAGTATATGCCTCTGCCTCCTGCGCCCGTCAATGTGTTTGGGCTGACCTATTATCAGGCCATGAAACATCTGAAGGATATGGGAATGGAAGCTTTTGGTGGGAGGTCTGACCCAGTGTCTGCAGATAACTGGAGGAAGAGGTAGGAGAGGAATTTTGATGCCATGAGATGTTCGGATGGTTACCGGAAGGACTTAGCCGTGCAGTATCTGAAGGAAGAGGCGCTGATATGGTGGGATGGTGTGGTGGAAGCAACTCAGGGTCGGTATGAGTTGACTTACAATGATTTCAAGGAAGCATTTGTTAAAAAGTATTTTCCACCCGAAGTCTTGGATCAGATGGAGAGTGCCTTTGAAGACCTGCGTCAGGAAAACCGCACTGTGAGGGAGTACAAAGAGGAGTTCAACAGGTTGAGGAGGTTCTCCAGGAAGCACTTCACTCAGGCAGACTTGGTCCGTCAATTCATGAAGGACTTGAAGTTGGAGTTGAGGAGAAGATGTTCTGTCAGGAGGTACCCCACATTAGTGGAACTTGTGGAGATAGCTGCCATTCAGGAAGTCAATTTGGATGAGCTGAGGAGGACCAGGCAGGGTCAAGTCCGAGCACCCCGTGCCTTGGAGGCACCAAAGATGACATCGGATGATATGGCAGCAGGGAGAGCCAATGGGAATGCTCTGGAGTGCCCGCGTTGTGGGAAGAGGCACACCGGACCGTGTGGGTTGATTAAGTGCTATGGATGTGGAGGAGTTGGTCATCAAGGCAGGGATTGCCGAAGCGCTGCAAGGATTGGCAAGTGTTATCGCTGCGGGAGATCAGGTCATTTCAAGAAAGATTGCAGGATGCCACCGCTTGTTCCGCAGGAAGGAGGAGCAGCGCCAGGAGCACCACCAGCTAAGAGGCAGGCTGTTGGACCTCGTGTCTTCACCATTGGAGATCCTGAGGGAGCCGCACCGATAGCTGGTAAGTAAATGTTTGAGTGATTCTATATGTTGCTTGTGAATAGGAATGTAGAATGGAAATGCATAACTAGACATAAGTATGAATCATGTAGGATCGGTCTCAGTAGGGGGCGCGATTGCAGATACCTTGTTCGACACCGGTGCCACTCATAGCTTCGTGAGCCCGAGGTTGACCAAGTGTTGGACCTTTTCTGGGAAGTTCATTCCTAGGTTGAAGGCAGTGGAAACTGCTGGGAATGAACAAGTCAGGACCATTGGGGTACATGAAAATGTACCAATTTTGTTGGAAGGTGCAGGATTTCCATGAAATCTAGTGGAAATGGAGTTGAACCTCTATGATGTTATTCTGGCGATGGATTGGCTGAAGCATGGAGTCGTCTTGAATTGTCGGAGGTCGAGAGCTTATCTCCCACAGCAAGGAGGGGAGTTAGTTTTTCAAGGAGTGAAAACTGATGTAGGAGTGTCAATCATCTCGATGATTCATGCAGAGAATCTTATGGAGGAAGGATGTGAAACATTCCTAGCGACAATCTCTAGGGATGAAGAGGGAGCAAACAAAAGCCTTGAGGAGATACCAGTGGCAAATGAGTATGCTGATGTATTTGAGCCATTGAATGGACCACCACCAAGGAGGGAAGTGGACTTCACCATAGAAGTAGAACCAGGACAACCCCTGTTTCGAAGGTTCCATATCGATTGGCACCAACAGAGATGGCTGAGCTAAAGAAACAGTTGTGGACTTGACAGATAAAAGATTTATTCGGCCAAGTAGCTCGCCATGGGGAGCACCAGTGTTGTTTGTAAAGAAGAAAGATGGGAGCTTTCGACTTTGCATCAACTATAGAGGGTTGAATAAGGTGACCATCAAGAACAAGTATCCTTTACCGAGAATCGATGAGCTATTGGACCAGTTCGAAGGAGCTTCATGGTTCTCCAAGATTGATTTAGCATCTGGCTACCATCAGATTCGGATAGCAGAAGAAGATATCCACAAGACAGCATTCCGAACTCGCTATGGGCATTATGAGTTTGTGGTGATGCCGTTCGGGTTGACGAATGCGCCTGCAGCTTTCATGAAGTTGATGAATGATGTTTTTCGGGAACACTTGGATAAGTGTGTGATTGTTTTTATTGATGATATTTTGGTCTACTCAAGAACTGAAAGGGAGCATGAATGGCATTTGGGAATGATTCTTCAGAAGTTAAGGGATCAGCAGCTTTTTGCGAAGCTAAGCAAGTGCAGCTTCTGGCAAAGGAAGATAGGATTTCTTGGGCATGTTGTTTCAGAAACAGGAGTGGCAGTAGATCCTGAGAATATCACTGCAGTGACAGAATGGCTGTGCCTAAGAGTGTCGCTGAGGTCCGCAGCTTTTTGGGTTTGACAGGATATTATCGAAAGTTTGTGCCGAATTTCTCTAGTATTTCAAAGCCACTCACCAGTCTAATTGGAAAGAATGTGAAGTTTGAAAAGACAGAGAAGAGATCCCAGAGTTTTGAGGAGCTGAAGAAGAGCCTCACAGAAACTCCGGTGTTGGTACTCCCGAGGACAGGAATACCTTATGATGTATGACGCCTCTGGATCCGGAATAGGATGTGTGCTTATGCAGGAGGGGAAGGTCATAGCATATGCATTCAGGCAACTTCGGAAGCATGAAGTGAACTACCCAACTCATGACTTAGAGCTAGCCGCTGTAGTTTTTGCTCTTAAGATATGGCGTGCCTACTTATATGGAGAGAAGGTGCACATATTCACAGATCATAAAAGTTTGAAGCATGTGTTCACCCAGAGTGATCTGAATCCAGAGGAGATGGATAAAGTTGTTGGCAGACTATGATTTAGAGATTTCATATCATCCGGGAAAAGCTAATCATGTAGCTGATGCCTTGAGTAGAAGGAGGAGTGATGTTTCTGAGACCAAAGAGACCCATGAACTGATAGCAACAATTGCGAGGTTGAATCTATGTGTTGCTGAGGTAGAGGATGACACCGCCGGATTAGAAGCATTGGACTTGCTGTGGAAGATCCGGCAAGAACAGGGTAAAGACTTGGCATTGAAGGAAATGTTTGACAAGCAAGTGGTTGGGTACCACCAGGCAGATAATGGAACTTACATGTATAAGAATCGGGTTTGCGTTCCTAAGGATGATGAGCTAAGGAATGAGGTGCTGAGTCAAGCCCATCAGTCCAAATTTTCTATTCACCCTGGAAACACCAAGATGTATCGGGACCTGAAACGCTATTACCATTGGGCAGGTATGAAGCGTGACATTGCTACTTGGATTTCTCAGTGTGCTACATGCCAGCAAGTGAAAGCGGAGCCAATGACGCCAAGTGGACTCCTCCAGAACTTGCCATTACCAGAATGGAAATGGGACATGGTGACAATGGATTTTGTGACGGGACTGCCAAGGACACTAAGTAAGAAGAATGCGATTTGGGTAATCGTAGACCGCCTTACTAAATCAGCTCACTTTGTGCCAATTAAAATGACAGATGGGGTCGAGCAGTTGGCGCAGAAGTATATTGATGTGATTGTGAGGTTGCATGGAGTTCCGGTGAGCATTGTGTCTGATCGAGATCCGAAATTTACAGCTAGTTTCTGGCAATCATTTCAGAAGGCATTGGGAACAAAGATTCACTTGAGCACAGCCTATCATCCTCAAACGGACGGCCAATCGGAAAGGACGATTAGGACCTTGGAGGACCTGCTAAGGGCTTGTGTTCTGGATTGGGAAGAAAGCTGGGAGAAGCATCTTCCTCTAGCAGAGTTTACTTACAACAACAGTTATCATGCCAGTATTGGAATGGCTCCGTACGAAGCTCTTTATGGGAGCCCATGTCGTTCACCTCTCTATTGGACAGAAGTAGAAGAAATGAGAGAGTTAGAACCAGAATTGTTGAGGGAAGCATCTGAGCAGGTGGAAATGCTTAAGATCAGGTTGAAGGAAGTCCATGACCGACAGAAAAGTTATGCTGATCAGCGAAGGCAGGAATTATCTTTTGAGGTTGGTGATATGGTCTATTTGAAGTTAAGAACCTTCAGAGGGAATGATGAGCATAGGAAACTGAAGAAGCTTAAGCCAAGGTACATGGGACCATACCCTATCATCGAAAGAATTGGAGAAGTGGCTTACCGCTTAGAGTTGTGATCTGCTCAAAGTTTAATCCCTAAGCTACTCTGCAAGAGCACAGATGTGCAGTTGTAGTATCTAGGAGTCGAACCACAGAGACTAGAGATCACTCAATAAACTTTGTGTAGATGGAGTTACGCTAAGCCGAAGTATGCGAAACAAATAGCAATGCGACAGAAATAAATAAAGCAGCAAAGAAAATGGTTTGTAAATTCGATGTGACAAGGGATAGGTCTAGGGTGATTTTCAGGAGATCAATGAATGCAGATCGACTTAACTAATCAGGGTTCAGGTTTAAGCTCAGTTCTTGAACTCGAAACACAGAATTATAATTAACCAACTTCCGTTGTGAGAATTATCTAAGTTAAAATCCTAGAATTCCAAATTCCTTTGCAAATCCTACAGATTTAAACCAGCCTTAATGCACAAGTTTGATATGTTCACAAAGTATCTAAACCAAATTCCTTTGCGAATAGTTACTTTGCTCAACCTAGGTTCTTTCCAGTTATTCAATTACCCTTCTGTGTCAATTAAGCAACCTAAGATCTAAGTTCTAGGTGATCAGTCTAGAATTAGCTTTAAGAACAACCTAAGGTGAAGAACAAATAGATATAAACCCTAACTAGCAAGTAAATCAAACAATCAAAGAAAACCCTAATTAACCCTAAACCTAACAGGTGATCTACTCAGACATGGTTATTGAAACAACAAACATGATGAATAGAAAGCAATGGATTAAATCGAAATAGATAAAGGGGTTCGAAATCTTCTCTCTAAACGAACAGAGTTCAGACTTGTCTCCCCAAGCTCATAAATCGCAAAAGCCGAAAACTCAGAGTATCTCTCTCTCAAAAATCTAAGGTGATCGTAAAAAAGAAATAAAAATCCTATATATATCTCTAAGACACGTCTTGGGCTTTCTTGGAAACGTTTGGGCCCAACTCCTTCTTCAAATAGGAAACAAAATCGCCTTTTCCTTATTTCTTTGACAAGTGTCGAGCGTCACTCTCCATGGTGTCGAGCGACACTAAAGCACAAAATCCATCCTTGACGAATTTGATACTGATTAAGCTCCAAACTGCTCCAAAATCTCCAGTTAAGCTCCAAACGTACCTATGACCTGAAAAGACTCCAAAAGACTCAAAAGACACTAAAAAGACTCTATAAATAAGACCTATACCATGGTCAAAAACCATAAAGACCATGATATATCAACTCCCCCAGACTTAGCATTTGCTTGCCCTCAAGCAAACAGAACACCAAATAAGAGAAAGAGGTTTGAAAATGCAGAGACTCAACCTTCACTGGAACATCGCTTTTGACCAATTGCCTGCAACTCAACTATTGCTTCATCATTCCAAATCGAACCACCATGTACTTCTCCGCAGACATTCACAACTTTCCAGATTAAGTCCAAAATTCCACAACATTGTCCATAAACCTTAATCGCTGGATCTCACTGATGATTCAAATGCCAAGAACCTTCTAGACTCTTTCCCGTTCTGTACTCAAACAATTCAGCCATACAAACTTTGGTATTTTTTTTCTCTCTTCCCCAGACTTATTCCTTTCGCACATTGATCATCTTTTTCTTATGGCGTATACTCGATAAGGGTAAAGCTGCGAGTACTGATGGTGTTTGCCATCAAGTCCCCGAGTTGTCCCCTTACCTTGTATCAAAGGTTTTCAGCGAATAATGGGGTTATGGGAAACTTTCTTACCCCTCACTTCTTTCCTTTGTGTGATCATTCCAACTTAGAAGTGAAATAATGGGATCATTGGAAACATTCTTAGCCCTTCACTCCTAAGCGAAAATCATCTCAATCTTTTTGCCCCTTTTTTTTCTTTCTTTTTCTTCTTCTTAGCTCGTTACAGGGAGAGAAACACCAACATTAAATTTCACACAGGCTTTCATTGATCAAGTACGAACGAGGAATCAAGCTCTAAGGCATTAGTCACATCAACGAGTTAAAAGTGAAGTTCAGAACTTAGCTCAGGTTAGTGGATTCTGTTGGAAACATGGATGCCTCTAGTCAACTGGTCAACCTTTGGATTTTTCATTAGTCGGATCTAGACTGAATCTGCAGCAGTGGTCACTTAGGTGAAAGGTCAGCACAAATTTCCAAGAAAAGCATCATAATCTCCAACAGGTTTTGACTCAAAAACGTTTTGACA